GGGATTATTTTCTTTACCTCGTAGGAGAAAGGAAAGAATGTTCTCTAAGGCCAAACTGCGCTGTTTCAGCGGTGTAAGGCCACTATAACAAATCTCCTGGCAGAGCACAGCTTCTTCTAAGCATCCACTTACTTCAGACATGGGGTAGGGGCATCTCCTCCTCCCCGCAGAACACAATTTCTTCTTAGCATCAACTTGCTTCAAATGTCGTGGGGGTGCCAACCCTCTTCCTCTCTTTTATGGCTACTGATCAGTTCAGTCCAGTCCTCAAAGGCCAGGGTTTTTTTTCCTCAGAGCGAGGTCACTCTCCTTTTCTATACAGGTCTCTCATTGATGAAATAGTCCTTTCAAGAACAACTTATTTTCTCCATGTTCGAGAACCATAGCACAGCACAGCAACCATCCGAACTTCTCCTTACTGTGATCTTCGGAGCTCCATTTTTCTTCTTCCATCTCCTCAACCTCCTGCTCTGTTTCTCCCCAGTGCATGATACTAAAACTACATACTAACAACTTAAAAACTACATGGGAGTCGCCCCTATCTTGTTTTGAATTGTTCTTAAGAACAGGACAATACRTCATCACAGAGGTGTAACCAACCTGTGCAATTGGCCCAGGCCTGACCAGCAGCCTGTCCGTCAACAACAGAGCCACAATGGATTGGCTCTAAAACACAGGGGGTATGGCTCCTTTTGCTGCAGAAGAAGGAGAAAGCTTTGAGAACTTCCTCACAGGAGCCATCTTTGTGGTTTCTTGGTCCCCATCCCACCACCACCAAAAAGCGGACCAAGTAAAACCATGAAACCCCCCAACCACTCCCTGCAATATAAATTACCCCAGAGCCACCAAAACCCCTTCCCATGGCCCCCAAAACCCCACCCAACTTCTCTCCAAGCCACACAGTCCTACCAGGAGCCCCAAATTCCCTCACACACCCCCAAAAGCCCCCCAAACACATTCCTGCTCCACAAATGCCCCCAAGAGCCACAAAAGCTCCTCTCAGTGTTCCCAGGAACCCCCAAACCTCCTCCCAGCCCTCCATGGCACCAACCAGGAGAGGTTTGTGGACAGGAACAGCCCCAGCTGGGAGCAGCTTGGTCACTTCAGCAGCGATTTGGGCACTTTGGGGGCACAGCCCGGATGGACAGACCCAGGCCAGGGACTGGGACAGACAACCGGAATTCCTGGAGAACAGACACGCTCAGGTGGACACGTTCTGCCAGCACAACTATGAGATGATGGGCCTGGATCCTGGCCTGGGCAGTCCCAGAACACCCAAATCCTCCCAAATATTCCTGTGAACCCGAAATTCAGCCCCCAAATCCTGCTAAAATGGTATGGCTTTAGATCTCTTTATTTAATTTCCTGATTCCACCAGACTAATGTTTGATTCCACCAGAAGAAACAACTGAACAGAGAAGGGGACATTTTTTGCATTGAAGAAATCAGCTCTTTCTAAGGATTTTCCACTGTCAGTCTGAGTCTGGATGAGCATTCCGGTCCCTGTGCTCATGTAGGTGCTTAGAGGAATGGAGGAGGATGTGTAGACAACGAGCCAGGTGTCGTCCCAACGGGATCACCAGGAATGTGGGTCACGAGGTCTCTGCCCAGTGTGGGTCCTGTGATGGGGGATGAAGTTGGAGCAGCACACGGAGCTGTTCCCAAACTCGGGGGACTCACCGGGCGTAACTTACTGGTGGCAGCGTTGGTGTCAGGTCAAGTGAGAACTCTGGCTGAAGCACTTCCCACATTGGGAACACTCGTAGGGCCTCTCCCCCGTGTGGATGCGCTGGTGGGTGACGAGGTTGGAGTTGTGCTTGAAGCCCTTCCCACAGTCGGGGCAGCGGAAGGGCCTCTCCTCTGAGTGAATCCGCTGATGGCTGAGGAGATTGGAGCTGGACAGAAACCTCTTCCCACAGTCAGAACATTCATAGGGCCTCTCCCCGGTGTGGATGCGCTGGTGGCGGATCAGTTCAGAGCTGCAGCTGAAGCCCTTCCCACATTCCCCACACTCGTAGGGCCATTCCCCAGTGTGGATCAGCCGGTGACGGATCAGGCGGGTGCTCGTTCTGAAGCTCTTCCCACATTCCAAACACTTGTAGGGCTTCTCCCCAGCGTGAAGCTTCTCATGGACTCCCAGCTCCAAGCCCCGGCTGAAGCTCTGAGTGCCTTCCTGGCACAGGGTGGGTCTATTTCTCTCAGAGCATCCTGGGCTGGGTTTGGGGCCCTTCCTTGTGAATGACCTCTGGAGCTTTTCCTTTTCATTGGATTCCTGTGCCCTGGAGCTTCTCAAAACAGCCTCTTCCACGAGGTTCCTCTGGGGGGATTTGTCCTCCTTCATTTCTGTCCTCAGCTCATTTTCTGTGGGAGGAAGGACAAGGAGAGGATGGGA